TATTGAGTCTATAGAGCATTTCTCTCTCTCGGACAGATCTGGTTTTGTGGTGACTAGAGGGGGAGGCCATGGAAATAGAGGTGGTGGTGGTGGACTTCCAGGTAACTGTGGTGGTCCCATGTTTAACCGTGCTGGTGGCCGGAGTGGAGGTTGGGACTCAGGGGGAGGTCGTGGTAAAGGAAGAAGTAATGCCCCCTAGGAAGTGTACACATTGTGGATTAGAAGGGCACATGGTTAATTTCTGCTATGATTTACATGGTCCACCCAACACTTGGGCTAACCATGCTATGACTAAGGGTAGTGGTACAATTACTGAAAGTCAGCAAACTGACCCGATCCCCTCCACATCTACTAGTGCTTCTGGGAAGGAGATGGTGAGTGTACCCCATGCAGTATATGAGCAATTCCTTCAGACATCTCAGCAGAACTCCGCTACCCTTGCCCATTCAGGTATGGCTTGCTTGGATTCCAAGCCTTCACACTGGATCATTGACTCTGGAGCCTCGGACCATATGTCTAGGACTCCTAATGTATTTTCTTCTCTTTCTCGGTCCTCCACATCTTAAACAGTTACTCTTGCTAATGGTTCTACATCTCCCATCTGTGGTGCTGGTGATGTTGATCTCTCCTCCTTGTCTTTATCATTTGTTTTATATATTCTCAAGTTCCCCTTTAACCTTATGTTTGTTAGTAGATTAACCAAGTCACTTAATTGTTCCATAACTTTTTATCCCTCTTTTTGTGTGCTTCAGGATCTCAAGACGGGGATGAAGATTGGTGGAGGGCATGAGGCAGGTGGATTGTATTACCTTGATGGTGGTGGCCTCCAGTAGCTTTTCAGTCGTCTCTTACTCCTCTTCAATGGCACCGCAGACTTGGTCATCCTTCTCTCAAGGCTCTGAAGTTGCTGGTTCCTTCCTTGAGTCATCTTTCATCTTTGGATTGTGAGTCATGTCACCTTGGGAAACATCATAGAGTCTCTTTTAGTCCAAGAATTGATAGTCGTGTCACGAGTCCTTTTTCTTTAGTTCATTTTGATGTTTGGGGTCCGATCAAAGTGATGTCATACAATGGCTATAAGTATTTTGTAAYTTTTGTTSATGAHTTTTCAAGGATGACATGGATTTATCTTATGAAAGATCGCAGTGAATTGTTTTCTATTTTTCAAAAATTTTATGCTGAAATACATACCCAATTTGGTGTTCATATTAAAATTCTTTGCTCCGATAATGCCAAAGAGTACATCTCAATACCATTTCAGCAATACTTAGAGCACCATGGGATATTTCATCAAACTTCTTGTGCCTACACCCTACAACAGAACGGTGTAGCTGAATGGAAAAATCGACATCTCCTTGAAACTGCTCGGTCCTTGATGCTTAATATGAATGTCCCAAAGCATTTTTGGAGTAATGTTGTCCTCACATCCTGTTTTCTCATCAATCGGATGCCCATGTCCATCCTTGCAAATCAATCCCCCTTCTCAGTGTTGTTTCCCACCTTGTCTTCGTTCCCTCTCACCCCAAGAGTCTTTGGATGTGTTTGTTTTGTTCAAAACTTGGGGCCTGGTTTAGACAAGTTAGATGCACAAGCTACTAAGTGTATCTTCCTTGGCTACTCGAGGACTCAAAAAGGGTATAAGTGCTATAACCCTAAATTCCATAAGTCGTTTGTGTGCTCCGATGTCACCTTCTTTGAATCAGTTCCTTTTTTTCTCAGATTCTGTGGTTTCTTCTCCTTCCTCCGTAGTTCCTCTTCCTGTCCCTGTTGTGGATCCCCTTCCCGTGGCTCCCATTCCAGTTACAGATTCACCTCCCATGCCAGTTCCTACTGAGAGGCCACCAATCACACAAGTGTATACTCACAGAAGAGCACCGGTCCCTCCTCCAATTCAGCCCTCGTCAACAGATCCCGTCATTGCTTCTTCTCCCTTAGATCTTGATCTTCCTATTGCCCTGCGAAAAGGTAAACGCACTTGTACCTCTCATCCTATTTCACACTATGTTTCTGTTGCTCACCTTTCTGCTTCTCATTGCAACTTTATATCATTGCTATCATCTGTTTCCATTCCCAAGACTGTCCAGGAAGCYCTTGCCTCCCCAGGGTGGCGGCAAGCCATGGAAGAGGAACTCTCTGCTCTACAACACAATCACACGTGGGAGCTCACTGCTCTTCCTCCTAGTAAGCATGTTGTTGGGTGTAAGTGGGTCTACACAGTGAAGTATCTTCCAGATGGCAGTGTGGAGCGATTGAAGGCCAGGTTAGTGGCCAAGGGCTATTCTCAGTTGTATGGTGTGGA